CATAAATATCTACAAATCCATATTTAAAACATATTTCCATGTATTCTGCAAGCAGTGTTCTATAAGATCACACAAAATTGATTACGAAATTTTAAGGCATGATCTGAGTCGTGGTGGTGTTATCGCGCGTAACCTATTTATTCCTAGAATCTGCCATCGTTTGAAGAGAGTGTTCTGTGATAAATTCAAATAACTTCGTATTGGAGTATTCGCCTGATAAGGGACCAATACAACAAAAAGTTCCCTTCACTTAAGTTTATCTTTCAGTTAAAACATCCTGCCAACCTTTAAACTTACATAATCAACGAAACTTTATCTGCAAGGTATATTAGCTCGGTAACGGCAGATATGAACTTGGCGCCTACAACAATTCGACACATTCAAAACATCTGTTGAATAATTATTTCAACAAAATCTAACCCGTGTGTGCTGTTATGGCTTGTCGAGATGAAAGTTGCATTTATGGAGATCTGATGTCGATACTATTTTACGACTCGATTTTCAAAGATACCTAAGAGATACCCATAAAACTTTGACAAAAACTTTGAGTCTTGTTTTCGGCAAATGCTATTCTTACAAACATACACATGAACCTGCCACGTGAAAGAACTAAAATATTATTAAGGTCTCTCACACACACAAAATATTCCGTCACACGATTAACTTCAGTATTTTTGTGTAAGCATGTCCAGGTAATCTGTTACACCTACCATGGCACACGTGATATATGAAGATTATATGAAGGCCACAGCTGTTACTAAAACTGCATGCAAGCACCATAATGCCCTACGAGAGCTCTCTCTATATTTATAATTTCCTATGACGTATTCTGTAGCTTTATGTCACATCTGCTCTCGCCACCGAATGATGACACTTATGAATCACGATCAAGTGTTTTTACATGATGTGGCCATAAGCGAAAACATGAATATATCGTTCGCAAATTAATCAGTACTTCATTAAATTAAATTAAATTCGTGGTGTAACAGCTCCAGAGAGCCAAAGCCGACTAGCTTGACTGTGTCTATATAATGTCATCTTCATATCGTATAGTAAAACAAATACAAAAAAAAAATACCACAAACACAAGGCAAAAAACTCCTCTGGTAAACAATCAGGTGTTTTCCAGCACCCGTCACCAAAGTGCAATTTACAAAAAAAAAGATTACTAAACATTAAAACATTTACTTTATGTGCAACTTCCATTGTTTGTCATCTTCTCGAAAAAAGAATAATCACGCACTCCACACCCCTATCAAAAGTAACACAAAGAGTTGAATGTTAAATGCATAATCTGTACTGCAAGGATTTATTGAATGAGGACGTAGATCAATTTCTGGGCCCCTCCGAAGACAATTAATAATCATTAATATCACAACTCTTACAAAAACTCCAGATTGATTGTTATTTTCCTTATGAAACAAAGATGGAAGTTGCGGGGCACAAACAATAAGCCCCAACTCCTCCCCCCTAGCAGCACCATCTCCACAGGCGTAGTACGTCAACGGCGAAAGCTGCTACAACGTGTTCGGTATGTCATTCAAGAGAAACATACAAAAAGGCTACTTATAAACTATCCATCTTTCGGTCTAAACTAATAATTATTTTAATAAATTCGGCCTACAATCTTTGGTCCCAAACAGCAAAATTCATGTACCACGCATTGGGACATGAGGAATGCGAGAAGAAAAATTACATCGGAAAGGCCGAAGGAAAAAGCCCACTTGTAAAATCTAGACGTAGATGGAAGGACAACATTAAAATAGTACTGATCTGACTTGGAACAGGATCTATGGCGGCATCCTGTGACCATGAGAATGAACAACCAGGGTAAGAATGGAAAAGTGGGAGAAGTTCTTGACATATTTAGCGACTATCAGCTTCTCAAAAAAGACTACTCTATGGAGATGGTGTGAATTTAAATTTCATACATTTCCCAAAATCTCAAATTCAAAATGTTAAATAACAACGCCTTGGTACGAAACATGAAAACGAAATGAAGAATTGTAAACGGACACAAAACAGACTGATCTCTAACTCCAAAAAGCAAAGTCCTTGAGGAGCTAACAGTAGCTCAGCTAGTCACGAATTCAAACCAGACACCCACAAAAAACGTATTTAACTTTTATTTCAACAGCTACTATCCTCCCATATATATCAGGCTTTCCGACTAAAACTCTGTACGCATTTATTATTTCTCCAAGACAAGTCTCTCTTTCTTTAGAAAACGAATTAAATAATCACATTTGATGTTGGTCTTTTGGGCTATAAGGTCACGTGGACTTGTTGAGAGATACCAACATTTCGGAGAAACATACTGCCTCCATCTTCAGGCTGCTTTCGAGAGCCAACGTCGTTCTGATGTCTGGAAAATAAAACGCTTCGACATATTCACCGCCATACGACCTTAAATCTCGCACATGTCAATGCAGTTTCTCAAAATAAATAATTCTCACTGATAGATCATTTGTGCAAGTTTTTAAAACCCGCTCGTTTCAAAATCGCTGCTCTGCTGTAAGAATGGCGAAGACGGTATCGGATTTGAAAATTTGACTAATAAATAAATGCCAATAGCTTAGCTGAGTAAATTAAACATAAACAACTGTGTTAGTAAAACAATTAAATTCAGTCCATATTCTTAAAAATCTTTTAATTTTATTTTTCCACCTAAGCCTAGGTTGTCTTTCCTTTAAGTTTTCAAAACAGAATGTCGATCGTATTTCTCCCCATTCGGTGCAACATAAAACTCTTATCGCATTTTACTTGACTCAGTCGCCTTAATAATATTTTCTGATTAATACAAATTATGAAGCACCTCACTGTGTCTAAATGTAAGTTATTATATAATTCATATTTGAATCTTAGGCCTATACGGTCTGTTAATATCACAGTAAAACTTAATCTACTTGTAAACACCGGAAATCCATAACATGGCTCCATTATTTGTACCAACATACTATACCTTGATCCAACCGTTTCCTGACGACGGTTAAGCTTAACTACATGGGGGGTGGGGGGTACAAAAATATATATCCCTCTCTATCAGTACAACCCCTCTGTTTCCCACCACACCCGTAGCCTTTCAGAGCATGTTGGTAGCAATTTCTAAGAGCCCCCCACCCAAAAAAAGTGGAGCTCTTTACCTCCCCCCTCCCCCCCGTCGTTCGCACTTCCGATCAGCTGCTCAAGGCACGAGTTATTTATTTTTTTATACTTGATAGCGCTTTCCTTCTCAGGACGGTTAGCAAAACCTGTACAGTGCACATAGCAATTGTAGCAAAATTACGCTCTTTACAAGAAAACATGGCAGCCATGAAATGAAGGTTACCAACTGCGAAACATCTGAATGCACGGAACATAAATGTGAAAACTTTCGTATGTTAACTTCTACTATACTACACGGAGCAACATCCCAGGAGACATTCATACCCTCAGCCCTGAGAACCTGAAATCTCACAAACTTCCAGTAGTTTCATTAGTGCCCTATAGTTCGAACAGAGCTGAGGGTTACGGAATAATGTACTGAGCAGAATATTTGAACCAACGAAGGAAAATGCGGAAGTGTGAAAAAACTGTGTAATGAAGATTTGTCACTCTTCACAAAACATTATCAAGGTCGCCAAATCGAGGAGGGTAATACAGGTGTGGCCTAGGGCGATGAAATATTCACACAGAATTTTACCCGGAAAAACTTCAACTTTGACCCAGGGAGGATAAGCAGATTTTCAAGGAACAGGGCGTGACGATGCAGACACATTTCGTGTGACTCAGAGAAGGGTGCAATGTCGGCTTTTGTGAACACGGTAACTAGCTTTAGATGTTCGGTGGATGTGACCCCGTCTTAGAAGTTTGGTAAGCCCTGTACAGGGTATAGGGCATGCCTTTAAGGTTCGAATTCCTACCTCCCCCATAAACAAACCACGCAAGCAAGTGCATGTAAATACGTACTGTAATGAATTATTGATCGCCAAGAACAAGCTTTTTACCTTCTTCCGATGCACTGATTCACAACAAAGCCAGAAATCAAATGCCTGAAGTCAAAAACTAGACTGTATAGTTTTTTGAGGAGGCCGATCGGGTTATTTCGAATGAACAGTGCTGGAGAACATAGCAAGATAAATGCTGTCCCTAGAAATCTCTTTTAACTAATTAACAATCATTCATACTGACTCAGCGCATGTTTATATACCGAAACTCATAATTCCATTATTAATGACTAATTAAAATGAAATAACCTAAACTCTGATTGGTATTCAAGGTGCTAAAACACGCATAATACCACATCTGGAGAATACACCTCGAATGTCTCATACCCAACGTCATGTATAGCACATCTAAAATTCTCTCAAAAAGTAGACTTTCATTTGTTTTGAAAAATTGTATTCTACGGACCACAAAATACTGTCTCCAAATCTGGATTGCATCTATATCATAAAGTGCATAACAAATTCCGTCAGTTTTCGTCCAGCTACACTAGTTTTTTTATGCATACAGACGGATATTACGGATGAAGGTGTTAGGTTTGGTCAGTTCTGGTCAGGTTAGGTTTGGTTAGTAATACGCATGCGCAGAAATCATTGATAATGCCGACTGCGACCCAAATAAAATTCGTCATGTCCATATACCCGAGTGTAATAAACAGAAAAAAAAATAGGTTTAGAATTGACACCTATAGCAAAATGACCACATTACTATTTCCATCCAACCATTCTGTAATCCTTACATCCAACGGAAATGGCGGCATAATATCCAAACCGAATTTCATGAAAATAGTGTCATCATTCCGCCTCACCACTTCAAACATGCGCCATGTTGACAATTCCACGCGTATAAAGTTAACAACATTAGGAAGGTGTACTCTTCGAAGTATACTGGCGGAAAGTTGGAAAATGTCAACCATAAATTTGGGGGTAACAGTTTAGTAGCGACCCAGTTCCTCATTGTATAAACCCTCCAAATTCATACGGTTATTAAGTCCGTTATATGTAAAATGTACTTACGAACTGTCACCTTCCTGGGATCAAATGCAACGACTTTTTCCTCGACGGACTCGATGCGGTTTCGTAACCTCCTAGATCGTTCGCCAACATTTTGAAGTTGCTTGGCTAAATCCTCAAATATATCATTAGCGATCACAACAAGGGACGCCAATTGCCGCAGAGCACTACTTAAGGTGTTGTTTGTAACGGCTTCCAGCTCATAATCTGTAATCAAAGGCTGACCATCTTCGCCATGCAGACATCGCCGGCTGAGGAATTTAGGCTCCACAACACGCTGAACAAATGGCATTGTTACGCCTTGTTAAGATCTCATTCCCACTCGTCTTCATTCCCATAACATAGTGATCAGTTAAACACGCGAAAAATTACATCTTAACCCATTCTGCAAAAAATTAAGCACGCCCTGTTCGTATTTCACCGTGTGTACACTCCTGCATGAAGCACATCACCACCACTTTTCGAGTTCACGCCGCAACTAAGCCGACGATGGATTTACGCGCGGACTATTCACAGTAACCAACTTAACTGAGTGTAAACATAAAATTCGCTAGTTATAAGCTTGCGGTGGTACAAAGTGTTGGTCACACTGCAGCCGTTATTTGGTGTAGCTATAGTTAGTTCTAAATATGCCGAAGTGGGAGTAAAGAGCAGCACATGTCAATAAAAGCCTTGAAGAATGAGTAGTTATATTCTGATCTTCGAAGTAGTTAATAGTTAAAATTAATGCTTCGTTTCAGCAGATACAGCTGAATTAGTATAATTTTCTTTCCATGTGTTTTTAAAGCACTTGAGTAAGCTTACACCAAACTTTACCACACTGCATAGCATATTCTATAAGTGTCGCCTTCGTTTTCACAGGTGTATGTTCATGGGAGATATAATTTAAAACCTAAAATCGTAATGGCTCAAGCAGAGGAGAGTTTTGAACAGGTATCACTGCATTATATTTTAATACAAATGTAGCTGTACAAGTGAACCAAAAATATTTGTGAATCTGTTGTTACTCTTATTACTGGCTATCCACTTTAATTCCTTAACCTCAAATTAAACTGAACCCAGACCAAAATTAAAAACATTCATGTAAAAATCTCCCAAGGGACCAGTCATAAGTGAAACCATGGAAGTAATAAACAGGAAATTCTGGTAAATTGTATTAACTGCTGCTTAGCTACTACTGTGCATAATTAAGTACTGACAAAATCATATTTTCTTCTTATCAAAAACAGTTTGAAGAGGAAGAAGCAGAAGCACCTCTTGGAGCAACCCTTTCAGGACGTAAACGACTCTTTTCTAAAGAACTGCGATGTATGATGTATGGATTTGGGGATGATCAAAATCCATACACAGAAAGTGTAGACCTATTGGAAGACCTTGTTATTGAATTTATCACAGAAATGGTATGAATCAAAATAATTTTATAATATGGTGGCCAGAGATTTGATTCATTAATAATCCTGCCATGTGACACAATATAGTCTGAGCTACTGACAGTGCCACTGATGAAAGTATCAGTATAAGAAAATTCACAAAATGGAGATACTGTTACATGCTTCAGAATGCTTAGTGTAATATTGTTCTTCCCAGTGCTGAGAATATCAGTTCAGTTCAGATACTGCACAAACATTATTCTGTTACCAACAGAGAGCTCATGCGATAGTATATGCTGGAAGATTCCATATTACAAAGCATTTAAATATACACATTTTTTGTTTTTGTGAACTGAAAATGCAAGTAAAATGTGTGCAAGTTTAGTAGATTCAGGTGATGAAAACTATGACATCATTTCAGCTACTGGGGCAAGAAATTCATACATTCTGCAGCACACACAGCCTTTCACTGTTTGACATACAAAAGTGAAAAACTTGATAATATAAGAATGTACACATTTATATTGATAAAGCTTTATATATAAAAACATTTGTAATTTAATTTTAAAATGTGAGTGGACTATTTCTGTCATTAGTATGCACATTTTAAATTAAGTACTCTTGTGATTTCATTTAGACTCACAAGGCTATGGAGATTGGGCGAACAGGAAGGGTCCAAGTAGAGGATATTGTATTCCTTGTTCGCAAAGATTCTCGCAAGTATGCAAGAGTCAAAGATCTTCTCACCATGAATGAAGAACTGAAGAAAGCTAGGAAGGCATTTGATGAAGTGAAATATGCAGGAATTCCAAATTAATGTACTTTACCTCTGTAAAATTCATTGTAATATGTTTTCAGAACACCTGTAACTAATATTTCAAATATGTTGTGTGTTGGATACAACAATAAATTACATAGTAATATTTTTAAACTGGAGTTTTATAATTCACTTACCCTAATTACATCTGTTATGTACATAACATGGACACATGAAGGCACAAATTATACAAGTATTCTATATAATTAAGAACATCCTGCAGTTGGAATATTTACAATACAAATATGACATAATTTCACAAATTCACTTATATTACTTCACCATCATTGAATATTTTTATTAAATTCTTCACTGCTGTTCTTGCAGACAATATGACATCGTTGATACCAACACCATCATATGATGCTCCAACAAGGGACAGAGGTAAATTATGCTCATTCACATAGGCTTTAATCCTTTCTATTCGTTCATAATGTCCAAGAACATACTGTGGAATGCAGTTACGTAACAATGACACCTCATGTGCCTGAGGATCACCTGATATATGAAGAATTGAATGTACATATTGTACTGCTGTACTTAGAAGCTTGTCTGGTGAAGGATCATTCCCAAAGAATTGATCAAACCACCTTCCACCCATCATTACAGTCAAAACAGTATTGTCACCCTTTGGAAAACAACATGTATCAAATACAATTCCTAATATGGGTAGTTTCTCAGATGAGGGAACAAGAAGCCCAAATGCATTTTCTTTTAACAGTCTACCCTTGAACTGAAGGTTTACAACTACAACAGAGACTGTAGGGATGGAAGACAGTTCTTTACCTAACTCTGGGTGTTGTTTAGTTAGAAGCAGTGCCAACTGTTTTGCTGGTAGAGAAGAAATAACATGGTCACATTCAAAAATTTTCTCACTGACTTTTACTACAGCTTTTCCATTTTGAAAAACTAATTCAGTACAAGGACAGCTAAGCAGAACATCAGCTTGCTGGTTTTTAATACTAATTCTCAATGTTTCTGGTAGAAGCTCAAGTCCACCATCTAATGACCAAACACTCCACCTTTCCTTTTCAGCCCTCTTGAAAAGTTCACACTTAGTTTGGAATATACTACTGGGTTTTCTTTTAAAAATGCTCATAAGCATCCCTTTTACTATTGATCCATATGTTTGTTCTGCCTCAAATAACGACTTCAATAGAAATTTGACACTTATTTCTTTTGCATCTCCAGCACAGACACCACATATTAAAGGATTTACAGCATACTCAGCAATCTCCTTTCCTAAACGCCTCTCCACAAAATCATAGATACTTTCATCTTTAACCAACTTTTTCGGTGTTTTCAAGTCCTGAAACAAGGCACATATTAATGGCTTTGTAAATGGAGTCTGTGTAACCAACAATGAACGAATGTTATTGAATGGCAGGGTATGCAATGCCTTATTCACATATATAAGTCTGTTTTGGGCTGCTGGATGATTATATTGAATGGGCATCACTTTATTGACCAAACCGAGATCTTCAATTAATGCTAAAGTATTTTCTCCAGCTACACCCTTTGGACGCACAGTTCGAGGCCCTTGCTCAAAAACGAATCCTTCAGGTGTCTTTGTTGTCTTTATCCATCCTCCAACACGACTGCTCGCTTCAATCAATTTAACATTCTTGAAACTTGACTTCTGCAAGTAGTGGACTACTGACAAGCCACCTATTCCCCCGCCCAACACCACATACATATTTATGTACGGAATTCACAAGCAAATATCCAACATTAAGGTTAAGGTTGACAAACGTTACGAGGCAGAAAGTAAAATTTTATATAATCCTTCATAAATGACGTAATTTAACATTTTACGTCTCATTGCTGTTTAGACCACTTTGCAATCAGCCAGCCGCAAGACATTTTCAGCCCTTTTCAATACCTGTATACAATTCTTTTTCAAAACTACGGTCATTCACACAACATAACACCATCATGATGAGTAGAAGCATGAATCATATGATCACGACCAAGAGTGCAATCTCAACAAAATGAAAAATCAGATATCGCTAAATTTAGCAGCATATTTCAAAATAACTAATATTTTCCAAATGTCAAAACTGGTATTAAATAACGATATTAGTATTTATTCCAGCGGTTACTCCGTTTATTTCTAATATGTGATTCTACGATTCTGCAAAACTTCTGAACTAAGAATATTTTTCCATCGACTGTTGGTTATTCGTGCCATTATTTACATCCAGACGTAGCGCTTTAGAGTTTGATTTTGTTTGGGGTTTGTGCACATAAGCGCTGGCATAGATAACCTTACAAGTAAATACCACAATGATTGTTCCTACCAACAGTTAAGTTTTTCACCATTTTGCTATTTGAAAATGTAATGGTTAAATTACAAAAAACTACAAGTTTTACCTGTTGTTTTGATTTGGTCTCTCACACGTACTATTGTGGTATTCAAATCACTGAAGATGAGGTGAACAGTTCAAGTCACCAATGGATAGTTGAAAAACATGTACATTTTGATTGGAAAGCCTGAAGAGAACAGACTACTCAGAAGACCAAGGTGTGGGTGGGAGGTTAGTATTAATATGGATATTTCGGAAATATGGTGGAAGGGCGTGAATTGGATTCATCTTAATCATGACAGGGACTAGTGGTGAGCACTTGTGGATACAGTAATGTACCTTTGAATTCCTTAAAGAGCAAGCAATTTCTTGGCTACCTCAGCATATTGTAAGCCTCTGAAGAAGGACTGTACTCCAAGGAGTTAAATATCTGGAGAAGCTCTCATTACTGGGTTAATTTTTATATAGAATATAAATACGCTTACATATTGAGTAAGACTTCAAGCTTTGATGGTGAATAAATGCACCAAGATTCCCTCAGGCAGTCAGCCACATCAGAAATGAGTTCAAAACCAACATTTCAGGGACAGTTTTTATGGCTGCATATGGTCACTTCCACATAAAAAGCTCAAATCATCTGCACAAGGAGAAACTTGTATTTTCATTCAAGAAGGGGTTAACATATGATCTTCGGTATTTTGAAAATAAAGGAATTTTTACTTATAAAACTGGTTGCGTCATCCGTACCCGTGAACTGCAACAGGTACGGATGACGCAACCACGGCTCGCAGCGGACCAGCTACGGCCACCGGACCATTGGATCAATAGCTAAGTGCAGAGTTCAACTCCTGCAAAACCACCATCTAGTGTAGTGTTGCTTGATATGCTTTTGTAAAATTCTCTACTCCATGATTTGTTTTCTAAACCATTTTAATTAAATGAATTAATTTCCCTGTTGCCACTGATGATGACCTCTTGAGGTTGAAACGCGTTTGGCACTAGTGTCTTTTTTATAGTGTTAATAGTTTGTTTGTTTGCTTATTTTATGTTCTAATACACTACACGGTATGCAAAGTTTTAAGAAAATTATCTTGGTTTCCCAAAGTATAACTGTAAAAAAGTTTACATGTATTTGTAAATTTCCAAAAAAAATTGATCACTTATTCTATTATGTTTAGAACTCAGCTGGGCCTATAAAAAACCTATACTTAAACAGTCAATACAGAGTACACATGCTTCAATCACCTTTTGATATTAAATTGGTATATCCTATATATCAGTAAAAACAAACATTGGAGTACTTGGTGTCTTCTTTATTATAATGAAATATATGAGTTATAAATTAAAATTATACTCAAAAACTGTGCAGGTACTTGACTCATACTTGATTACATTAATATTTTGGTACTCTAATGTCCCAAATGGAAAGCCATTCTTACCCACATCCATTACAATGTCAAGTTCAGTCCTTTTACAGAAGGAGTATAATACATCGAATCAAGGAAAAATCTTGTGAAGTCTCCTACGATAGAGCGGTCAGGAATGCTATGTGACATACCATACATAGCAAACTGCAAAGAAAGATAAAAGAAATCAGATTATTTTCTATATTTTACAGTTTTTGGAAGAAATTAATCCCAAGACTTACCCTCTGTTACAATATAGTGGGAAGCTATACTTCAACTGGAAGGACACTTAGCCAAGTGTGTTCTTCGAAATTTTGAATATTTCACTGCCTTAATGTTCATTTAATGGGCTAAATCAAAAAGTCAATGTCCATTATATGCCATGTAGGTGCATGTGAGATGAAGAGGCGTAGCTCCTACTCACTTTTGACCCCAGCACTAAATGGTGGTGAGAGGTCAGCATCACACCCTCAGCCACACTTTAACCCTGAGAAAAGTCCCCTGGTTCTCACTGGATAGGCCCCAGAGCCAGTGTAAACACTGAGGCCAGGGATCAAACCCCTGTTGTCAAGATACTATACTGTCTGAGATACCCGAGCTATTGTGGGCTAATTATACTTTAACAAAATAAAATCAATATGACAAATATCACATTACAAAGTGATGCAAATTATTTTTCCTTACATTTTAATGACTGTACATAACAAACAAATATTGCAATTGAGGGTTATAAATCTCAATCAGATTTAACGTCATATCTTAAATTTATATGTAAAGTAGCACCAACTTTTCTCTGTAAAACCCATCAATTTTCAACATTTTACATTTTTGAAACCAATTAAAAATACAATAATAATTTCAACAGTCATTACAGAGTTTGACTTACCTTCTTCTTCTTTATAACGCCGTCTCCTTTACAGGAGGTTGGCGACATATTATGAACAGGATCCTTCCATCCTTTTCTCAGACTGGAACCTGTTCATATATGTTTTTTAGGCAGGTGATACAGAAGTTGCCTTCTTCTGTGTGTACGGAGTATGGAGTAATTGTTGGGATGCCACAGAGAAACTGGGGAAGGCCCGGAGGAAAACTCCGTTTTGCCTAGACCACGGCCTTGCCCAACACAAGTTATAAATTCGGGCACCACCAGGAATCAAACCCAGGACCCCAGGATTACAAGGCCAGCATTTGACTTACCTTAATTACAATAAAATCTAATTTTTCAGAAAGAGGCCATTGTTGTAAGGAAGATTTTAAGTAAATTCACCACCTAGATGAATGCCTTTTGCCCATACGAGCATAACTAACATAAGATTTGTCTTCCAGGTTGCCTGTTCCTGTAACTTTCCTATCATTTTAATACATAACTTTTCAATTCAGGCTCTCATTAATACTCATTTCTATTTAATTAATAATTGTTTATAAATAACTAAGACCTTTCCCACTGAATGTGAGTCCTCCTACGGTCAATAATATCGGAAAATTGAAGAACATAATATGAATGATGAGCAAAACAGGAAAATCCTTAGGAAAGGATTTATAATGTGAGTAGTATCACATTTGTGTTGTAAATGGGTAGGCACTCACTTTCCCCTCAACAGGTCTGGTTGGATCCTTCATGATAATTGCCAATTCCTCTTCCACATCAGACAGGAAACGGTCTGCAACGCCATCTGCAGTATGCATGTATGTGACGCACAAATGAAGCCTGTTACATACAATATGACACATATAAACTACAAGAAAGTAATGAAAATAACATGTTTAATAACACAAAGACTATTCAGATTTTTTTACTACACCCAAATTCTGTATTTTATAAAAGTAACTTCTGGCCGTACTTAGTCGATACATGACTCAAGCAGCACTGTTTTTACTCCTTCCTGAAACAAACTCCCTTTCTTTCAAGATGCAGAACTACCCCTTCCCACATTGTATGTACCCGCTACTCTAGACATGTTTTGTATACCATATTCTGTATTTGTTTAAGGTGTTTGACAACAAAGATCTGATGAAAGTATTTGGACTTAGACAGAAGAAACAGGAGATGGAGAAAATTACATAATCAGAAACTTCATATTTTACACTTCACCAAACATTATTAGGGTAATCAAATTAACAAGAATGTAAACAGTATGTTTATTTGAAATGTAGGCATCTATCTATAAACCCACACAGTATTAAAGAACAGAAGATCAACAATGACATCTTCACTGTCGTCAGAACTTCAAATCTTACGCAATGTCATCACCTGATTTGCAACTGTAACAAGGACCACAGTGGTGGGTGTACTCTGATGAGAATGGAAGAGATTAATGGAATGAAATTTAATCTTTCCCATAAAAAATGTTACAGAATCTCTTTCAGTTTATGGATCAGTATTTGTTGTACAACACTTTTATCAATCATTTCAGTGAATGGCAAGATTATTTTTATAGTGGTAACAGGTTAAAGTCCCACTTAATGGTACCTGCACCTTGTCGTGGTGGTGGGGCTCGAGTACCTCAGTGACCCCAAGAGCTATGCTGGCGGTAGCATAGCTACTGGTAGGGCCTCCCTAGCCAGATTGGTTGAGGGGGAGAGGTCAAACTAAGACAGGTACCCTGGTCCTCCAGGTTGGGGGTTGGTCACAAGGCTAACAACCTTGCACCATAAAAAGGAAGATGTTTCGAAACCTCAATCAAAGCCTCGGACAGACGGACCTAACAGAGGACCGAATGGAAGAGGAGAATTGAGGAGGCCATGGACCGAATACGGAGCGGAGAGCCATACAAGAAGAACAGGTTAAAGGTTATTATCCTGGACTAACTCTCTTTTAAACAGCTGGAAAGACTTACCCAGGTGGGAACTGAAGTGGATTGAGGTTCCAGCCTCGTTTGCAGAGTGCATCTGAGAGTTGATAGATGTGAAACAGCTTAGAGCCAACAGCTACTACTGATGTTGCAGGCGTGCCAAATATGAATATTCCATCCATCTTTCGCAGTCTATAATATGTACAAAAAGTAAATAACTAAATGTTATGCAATAAAGCTATACTAAATACCTATAAGTTGTTATTTGTCCCATTTGATTCTTCGGTTATTAAACAACACCGTTATTCAACACAGATTATACAGCATTCAATGAAATGAGATGGATTATCTTGGTGCAGTAGCAGAAAAGGGGGGAGACAAGGAATTCATATAGAATGTTGGTGGGGCAATCTAAATTCATACAGATGAATGGCTGGAAAACCTCTTTGAAAATAGGTTTTGAGGATGTGAGATAAGTCAAACTGGCCCAGGATTATGCTGGTTTCAGCATTAGTGATGTTCCAACATTCAGGACCTACTGCTGGTTTTAGTTCATAATATAGAGTCTACTTCACCCTTTCTCAATATATTTAGTTGTTTGCACAATTTTCTTCGTTGCATCAACATAGCCCTCTAGCCCGAAGTACATCAGTGTTGCCCAGCATGCTGCAATGATACCTATAAAATTAAGAAAACTTGTTTTAGAAGAGAAGAAATCTTAGAAGGTGAAATATTTGAAACAACACTCACCACATATTAGTAAAACAGGTAAACTCCAGAAATTTCATCTACAGTAAAAATCATAACAACAGATATTATGAAAATGTGACAAAATTTAAGTCATATCAACAAGTAACCAGGAATGTCAAAACATGTATTTTTCTTTATAAAGTGGCAGAGAAGTTAGAATACACTGAACATAAATAATCACATATTTGTGCATAATTTCAAATGTTATGTATTTATATAACATTAAATATAACGCATAACGCCGTAGTGCCATCAACATGTTTAAAACTATAATTCACATAAAACAAAAGAATACAATGAACAGTCTGTCAAATGTCTACAGCCAAAGACATGTTCTGATTGTGATTAATTTTTTATTAAATTTTATTCATTTGTAAACATAAGATGCCCTTTTTTGTGAATGGAAACTAAAAAGAGAGAGAAAAAATCATGACACATCAGGTAAATACAGTGTTATGTTTTCAGAATACTCATATTTCCCTCATTTTACCCACTGCCCAGATGAATTAGAGTTTGCGTAGTAATTAAACTTAGTACTGTTACACAACACAAATGACCATGAACATGTATACACTTGCCTCCTGCACGAGACCCATTGACAGTAGGTGAGCCATAGACTCCTCCAGGCCAATCAGTGCTCACGTTAAACTGGTGGTGCCTAAACTTGGGCTCAGAATACAGGACAACAGAGGAACCTTTCGGTGCAAATCCATACTGCAACATTAGTGTCAACAAGACTACACACAGGGTTATGAGCGAATGAATATATTCTATTTATTTTTTCAGAACTTCTAAAGGTTCAGTGTATTTAAAGCCATGGGAAATATTAAAATACCAGTCACAACTTGGCAGACAGGTATGAAAGCCTCAGCATGTGGTCCATTATGTAAATGTTCGACAAACAGCTTTACTAATAGTTGATACATGTGCAAATCAGAGAAGAAAGGTGCATAGTGAAAGTAGGGAAACTTTTCCAAACATAAGGGAAAATATTACAAGAAAATAATTGTTCCCAATGAGAAGTGGAATGCAGGTGCCACATAAATTTCCCCACAATAGGTTGAAAGAGCGGAGTTCAGTCAACCACTCACTTTGTGTGTGTCTGCTGAGATGCTGGTGACACCAGGTACTGAGAAATCAAATGGAGGCAGCATGAATCCTGCCTCAGCCATGAATATAATGACAAAGCCACCAAGACAGGCATCTACATGAACAGGAATGTTGTACTGACGACCTAGAGCAGCGATAGCTTCTATATCATCCATTGTTCCATATGGATAGTTTGGAGCTGAACCCACTAACTGCAAGAAAGATCGCCAAACCACACGGACACTTAAAATAAGTGTTTCTTATTATGAACAGATTGACATTTATGTTAACATAATGCATTACACAAGTTGTAATAATATGAGATTTACTATTGTATCAGTCGGAGAATAATAAACCTTTGCCACTCAGTCAACAAATACCTACATCAACAACAAAACAATATGGATGACTTTTGGTTAAAAATGTAAACCTACGCTCTGAAAAATTAAGTATGTCATCAGTCCATCTACAATGATAAAGTAGATGCACTATTAAGTTTGAGCATGACGTAAATATTTTTAGCAGCAGCCTCCTCCTTCAGATACAGACATTTCAATCATGTAAAGCGAAGAATTCTAATAACATATGAATGATTTTGGTATGCCAGCAAACAACATACAATTATCATATCATATCAATTCACAATTATGCATTCATATGTAACTTCAGAGTAAAACAACACGATGGTCTGATGCTGTCACCCTGGAGTACTCACCAGACATGTATTTCTACTAATGGCTTTTCTCATGGCTTGAATATCAACTGTTGTGGTATCTCGATCAACGGGGACATGGGTGACACGCATGCCGAAGTATGCTGCAGCTTTGTCAAATGCTGGATGTGCAGTTACTGGAATGACAATCTCTGGGCGGCGGATGCCTCTCTCAGCACGTGCGTAGTCTCTGTATGCTTTACATGCCATAAGGATTGATTCTGTTCCACCAGTTGTCATCTGTAGAGGAGAGAACCAAACTATTATGAATGTGCTGTCGTAAGGCATGTACACGTACGTATTCAACAGAGGCATTCATGTTTTACCAAACATATACAAAATTTGCAAATTACTCACCAACATGCAATAAAGTTCCACTTGGGAGTCATGATATTTTATTTTTAAATACAACTCATTACTGACACCTGTGTACATAAATAATATTGGATCTAGAAAATGGAATAAATATATAAATAAATAAACAAATCAACAACCAAACTAAGTTATACCGTTCCACAGGATCCAGGTCCTCCATGAAATAAGTTGGCTGTGATTCGAACCACTTCTGCTTCCATCTTGCACACTCCTGGAAAAACATCGGGATGCAGAGGATTTGTATATGATGCTAGGCCATATACTTCAGTCAGCAACTTTATAAGCTCAGGATTGTAATTGTACACAGTTCCAGACACAAAACCACTTTTCCAGTTGTAGTCACCTAGAAGAAATAAAATTACTTACTCATATTATTCAGAGTTGAAAGTCACAGCCCCTAAACACCATTGTCCTTCCTAATATATTAAAATGCACAAGCCCAAACATATATATTTCCTTACAACTTTAAAGAGTCACAACAGGCTGTGAAATGTTAGGATGTAGCTTAATGTGACCTCACTTATATAACTTAACCTCACAATTTTTTACCCTCTTCAAGCAAAACTGCATTTCTGATTTTACAGTCAATCAACATACCAAATGACAGATATTTCTCAACCTGCTGAATTATATCATGATGATTTTTTCCTTCCTTGGGTAATGTTGTGATATATGGATTTCCTTGGTTACGATGGATCACTTCTTGCTCAAACGTTTCATTGATTTTTGACATTTCACGTTCAATGCGTTGAGAAACAGCTGGTATTTTGCGCGCAAGCTTGAAGACCATTTTCTTACCACGGTTCACCAAACCTAATATGTGGAAAAAGTTTTAAAATATGAGATTTTAGGTTTTGTGGTGAAAGACTAGACAATTGTCTTAATCAGACACTGTGAAGTCTTGTGGTGATTACCGACATTTGGAAGAACTTGCTGCCTCCATCTACAACCCTGAAGACAACCTAAATGTTAAAAATGTGTGATAGTTTTCAAACTTTGGCCACAAAATTTTATTCTGGAATTATCTTTTTTTGTAAATGGTACTAACTTTCTTCTTGAAATAAAAACTCCCAGAACCATACTCCTGCTAATACTGTAGTTGCCGTTACTGTGACAATTTGCCATGGTTCTAGTTTGGAACAGCTGTTGTTGATAATTAGTCTGATGCTGTCAGCTCCAACCTTCAAAGCACGTAAAGGATCCATGCTTCATTTAACAGGACACACCACAAAATAATAGTTCTGAAATGTATAACGACAGAAATTCCCACAACCAGCAAAGCAAATGTCAAGAACTCGTTACTAGAGCCGTGAAGTTACACAACCACATACTTCTGATAAGACAAATGGAATTAAAACGTATCAACTTGCAAAACTGTCACATCATGCAAGGAACTATTTACACCTCTCAGCCCCCTCGCAAACCGAAGCATAGATAACATCATGTCCCGTCACTTATGTTGGTATTAACAGGTTATAGCTTTTTTCTGTGACGACCACGGAAGCGCAGGGAGTGCTGTATGATCGTGCGCACTTATCGAGCGAGAAGCGTTACGTCAGAGCAGGCAATGGGTGCGGCTCGAGTCCTCGCAAGCAACAGATAGTGCACCGGCACATACAAGCACAAAGTCGAAACGTGATCAAGTTGTTTGCACACACACACACACAAGTCAAATATATTCATATGTTAAGTGTTTAAGCCGGCTACAGACTAGGCTTCCACACTGGGCAAAAATACTCAGTAAACCTCCCAGATATCCTAATTTGAAGACAATGAATCTGTCAGATAGTGGTGGATGATAATAGAATGACGTTGTAGGCCCCACCTCACCCTACCATAAACATTAATCTTCCATCGAATCATTTTCCCTTTTTATTTGAAGGCTACGCCTTGTGCGAGAATGCATTATTGTAGTGTTTCGATCTTTCACAGCAAATGTGTTCCTACATCCTATGGGCTGTGGCATTGTGTAGAAGTTTACCAATATTTCAGAGGTACTTGCTGCCTCCATCATCATGACAGTCTGATGAAGAAGACAGCCATCTTCATACTTCCCACTATTAGAACCTCAAATACCATAGTATGTTCCCATTTTTCTTTGCCAAACCCCAGCCTATTCAGTAGCTTCTCCTCATTTTGTTCCTGCAAAGAGCAGGATTCATGCAGCAAACATCCACTCAGTATAAATGAATGTGGCTTATTGTATTACCCATATCAAGCAGGAAAACTGCTTGAAGATGGCTGTCTTCTGGGTTGTTGCTCTGTGTAGTCTGGTAGAACTTCTCCTTAGGTGTTTACTGTAGAAGCTGTTTGTTAACTTGATGATGACAAGGCATGCATCAAGTTTCTGACTTGAACTAATGGACCTAAAATTACCACTACTCAATATAATTTCAAAGTTCAGTCTCTCACAAATCTCCTAACTCTTTCACAAAAGGAATCTGTTATGCCATCTTACTCCCCAGATCAGTGTGTTTTTACAAATTGCAATTGTCATTTAATGAATCACATATATTACTTTTACCTATATGCTGTCATTCTTAAAAACAAGAATATTTTGTAGTATAAAATAATTTAGCCCTCAGATTTAAATGCTAGAAGGGTCCGGAGTCAAAACATATACCTCCACTGTGTTCCAATATTCAGAATGCAAGTACAGTAAAACCCCTCAAGTTGGACACTCCTTTATATTGGACACTTTTAATTGGAACCAGCGAATATCCTATAATTTTACATGTTCACAATATCCTATATCTTGGACACCCCTTTATCCTGGAACTTGAAGACCCCTTTTGTTGTAAGTTGGACAGGTTCATGCACTTAACTTCGATGCTTTTCAGGGAAAGTTTTTCAGTTACATATTTTGAATTTCTGGCTGATGAATGCCTCCTCTCTGGAGGATTGTCTTATGAACATTGAACCCTTAACTGGACTACAGTATTGCAGAAGACACAGTTGTATCTCCTTCAGTACTGTGCTTGCATTTGAGTTCAGACTATGTTAACAGAAATGGAATTTTTCTTTTTGCGATGGGGAAGCGAAAATTGGTGGAATTAACTTTAGAACATGTTATTGAGGCTGGGGTGTAATGTATCTTGGACACCTCTGTAAGTTGGACACATTTTCGTGGAACCCCAAGTGTCCAACTTAGAGGGTTTTACTGTAATATCAACATCAATCTGAAGTATGTAATTTCCATTATAATTTGAATTTGTTTTGATCCTCTTTGGTGCAATTTTAACCTTTTCCTGGATCAAACATAGTAGAATATACTAAATCAAATAAATATGTAAACATTTAACATACTAAATCAGTAAATAAAGAGAATTTTAATTAACTGTAATCTGATATCAGTGAACTTATAATGTAGCAAAAGTAAAAATACCCCGTTCTCCTAGGATTCAGCTTCAGGATAATGTTTTCTGAGGCGTGAACATCAGACAGGAATTAAAAAATAAAAGAAAAATGAACTAATTAACGACTGAAATACAAATATCTAATGATATTTAGTGCCATTTAGCTGGACTTACAAAACATGGAATGTTCTCTCAGTACTGTAACACACAATAAAAGTTAAATAATAAAGCACTACATTTGATAAACCAACAATAACATAGTAATATGATTCTGTTTTAGTTGTTTCAGTACTTACAGTTTAAAATAACAAATGCTGATGAGTTAGTTCAGTTAGTGCTTTTAACTGAGGTGTCACAAACTGAGACTCAGTTCAAGTATGTAAATACTGAAACAACCAGAACACATGACACATTCCATCACCTCATATATCCCACATATAAAACTCCATACTGCTTAGGCTGTAATTTACTTAAAACAAACCATTTTTTTCTCTAAACACATAATATGAATTAGTATATTTTATACTATGTACATACACATTTAACAAAAACAGAAGCTTATGCAACCAATAACAAAACAACCTCTTTTCTCCTTTGATTACATGATTTACCAACCTGCCAAACACAAGCAACTTTGGCAAACCAGCATAATTATAAGGGTAGACATTTAACTAGAGATACTTCTCCAGAACTGAATTGATTGCCTTAATATAAGTATACTTTCAACATAGTTCTATACCTCAATGGGGAAGAAAAAAAAAAGAGTTTCTATCACGCCAGAGATCATCATAAAAATCAATAAACAAAAGATTGTGAACGGAATAATGTAACAAGCATTCCCAATTAATTAGCTCCTAAATTCTTTTGTTCAATTTTTACAATTGTTTCCAAATATTTCAATTGCCATATTTCAAAAGATTCATTACCAAGAGACCAACTACTTGTGTAAATATCACCCCAGACTTAAGCATGGAAGTAGAGTTAATGCACGTGAACTTTTATTAGCTACTGCCCTGAGCTTAGTTTTGTACAGTATGGTGAGGTAGTGGCTTTTGCTTTTTTATTTTATTTTATTTAATTCTGGAGGTACTGACTAAGACACCACACAATTTACAATTTACCAGCACTTAATCTTCTTGAAATCTGTTTCTATTTTACTATGACCACCTACCGAGAAGACCCCATTACACCAAAATGATGCCGATAGGATGCATGGTTTTTAGTTCTCTGATCAATTAATGACACTTAAAGCAGTGAGTTTACAGGTGAGGGTGATGGCTAACAATAAAGTATATGTTCAGCTTAACATGCACTCCATTACACAATAGTTTCTTCAAGGGATAAAATCTGACACTTTTGACAAAGTAAATTATCATTGTTGTTATTACAGGCAGATGTCATTTCAGTATATACAAATATCACTGAGGTGAGTGACAATAAATCTTAAGTACAAAAACAAGCAAGTTTCTAAGGTTTTGTTGAAAAGCAAGATGGTTTTGAAAGTAGACTTTACATATCCACAATTCAGTTCTAAAGACCACTATTCCAGGTAGTCAATAAAATTTAATCTATAGTAACAACCATAATGATAAAACAGAGGGGAAGGATGAGATGGGAAAATACATAGATAAAGATGTAATCAAGTTTCTGTTTCAACAAAATTGTGCAAAATTCTTTCCCAACTTTCCAATCAGGCAAACACATCAAACACTAGAAGTATACAAATTACATACAGTATTGTATATTCATTATTAAAACACAGCTTTTGCATTCCTACAAACTTTCAGTTACTGTGAAAATTAAACATCAAGAATCAAAATTATAAATAATATTTTGTTTCTTATTTTTGCATGACAGTTTGTTTGGCTGGACGGTATGGTTATTACACAGTTTTTTAACTAAGGAGAGGCCACTGAAAAAAGCAGTTCATGTTTTTGGCATCAATTCACATTCTTGTACTGCAGAGCAAACAACTAAAAGTAAAATATTACAACAGAAAAGATTGTGGTGCATGAACTTGTCTTATCATTAATAAAGAAAAGTTTAATTTTGTTTGAACGTGTTGTCACCATAAACTACAATATTATTCTTTCTGTAGTTTTTGCAGAAGCTGAAAAAACTGACTTCTCGTGTAATTTGGGTGTGAAGTGTCCCTTATCTAGCAACAAGATAGTCCCCAATGAAGGCTTACAATAAAGTGATATTACAGATTTCAAGACAAATGTCCTGTACGAGAAGCATAAACAACCTCTTCTATCTCTTATGACAGCACTTATTATGTTTATTCACACAATAGTGTTATGCCAAACTTAATTTAGTCATATATAAATTTATCATTTCATTACTGTATAGTTAGAAGTGCAGAATAAAATACCCAACAGATTGTTTACATTGGCAGTTAAGTGGAAATTTTAACACATGATACACTCTAACCAACAGGATATGAGCTGTTAAAGCTTTTTCAACAGTACTATAATAAAATAATACCATAACAACTACATACACACCCAATGAATGGAAAAAGCTAACAACCTCCTATCCATTATATAAATTGATACATCTTCCATTTATACAAGTCTTTAATATATATTATTTAACTGTAGATATAATTAATGCCATTCAGCAAAAGAGGGTATGGGGGCAGCAACCAAACTGTTTGATGCAGCACCGTCTTCTCTTGTGAGATCAGAGCCATTACAGAAACACATGGGGTGGCACAGAAATCTACTTTGTTGTCACTATTTGGTTTTCAGTCTATCAACTAACAAAGGCGGTCAGCTTGTTTGTACACAACAGTGCTCTGAATGTAAAAACGTGGTTTGAGTTCACTCTTCTTTCACAAAGTTAAAACCATGTTTACAGTATTCTAACACATTAATATTTTCTTCTTCACTGGTGGGTAAATCAAACAATTAAAACAGTTGCTATTTCAAAGAAAGAGTATTCAAATGGGCATTAAAAATAAATAAATATTTCATTAACAACTCTATATATTCAATAAAATACAACATTACAGTCCAGGAAAAATGTTATAATGTAGTAATTTGTAAATTCTGATACTCATATGACACACTCCACATTATTTTAATGATGCATTAGCAAACCCCCTCCTCCCCACACACACACACAGCAAGATCTAAGAGTGAAAGCATTTCACTTTTAATGAAGAAACAAAATTAATTAATTAATTCTTCATTTCTTGACATTAGTACTGATCTGTTACAGACTAATGACCCATTGACTAGGGACTATTCTTCCCTCATTTATCTTCTGCATTATTTAATTGTATGACTGAATTAAAAGGAAGGAACCTGTAGTGATGAGGTTGTTGCTATACCCCTCGGGATTAGGAAGTGGAGCTGTGTCATAAACTCCACATCCTTGAAAAATTAATTAGTTGTTAATGTTCAGGGACAGTGATTATGATGCCTCTCTGACTTTAATGCCACATTTAATAATTAATTTTCATATTGAAAATAAACATGCTTAGGCAAGCCAGCAGTATGTAGATTTATAGACAAGTTACTGTGTACTGTACAATGATATTTTCTTACAAGAAAAGCTACTGCTGCAAGAACAGATATAGTTTAATAATTTGTCATATTATATATCTCAAACAAAAAGCTCTATCTTTTGCTAAAACTTCTACTTGTGTAATGGTTATTAAATATTCCTTAAAACACTGCTAAAAACATTTAACAAAATACTGTTTCCTCCTGAAGGAAAAATGAGCAGGTTTTCAAATAATTTACCAGTTTATGTAGAATAAAGATATATTAATAAAGTGCCAAGTATATTTAAACTAGTGTACATGAAATGTGCCACCCCAGTAAGGCTTCACAACTTACTTGCAAAGTTCTTATACCATTAATATATTATAAAAGATACTGATAAGTCAGGCTATCTGAAGTTAAATGAAGCATAAATTATGAAGTTACCAGATGTCTGTAAGTACAATTATAAAACTGGTTCTTGTTAACATTCAGTAACATGCTGGAGCCTGGAACAACATTACATTTCCAGACTACAAGCAGGTTCTCACTGATGCAGCAATCTGAATCATAACTAATGTGTACTGCACTCTTTAGGGCTGTTACCCTTCTGTCTAATGGCCCTGTTAGGAAAAGGTCTCCTGTTGATTATTAATATGATAAGAAATGTGGTACTATAAATTACAAAACAAAATTAGTATGTCCCAAGTGTAATTTAAACCAGCACCTAAAAGCATAGTTAAATGGCTATTAGATAAGAACCTATGAAAGAATGATATGATTTTAGTTCAGTAACCTTCACATGAAAACAGTGTTAATTTCTGAAGATAATAGTTTTAATCCCATGGTCAGAGTATAATCTGCAGAGGATAGATTTGTTTCTTCACAACCACATCGGAAATGGCTTTAAGTTTAGCCAGCCTTCAGGCCCTATTTCGTAGGTCAGTTTAAAACTGTATAAGCTATTTATTATGACTTTCGCATGAGAATCTTTTTTGTTTTATGTGCATCGCATATTAGGTAATATTATGTAATCAATCTACTGGAAAATAACAACTTCCAGGTCTAAAATATATTCCATTTAGTGACAATATGACTATTTCATCCAGGGACTCAATGTGAATCGTACTTTATATCTACATTCCTACATTCCCTTAGTTTTAAAATATTCATATCCAGATATTCCCTTTAAAATGTCTTTGCACTGTGAAATTGTGCTATAAGTAAAATATATGCAGAACACTTTATTGTAATTTATTAAACGCTGATGTGACTCAAGATGATGATCATACAGAAACTCTGTTCACAGAAACACCTGGTAATCCCACATCTCATAGATCTGAATTCATTGAACTTATAACCTGACTGTACATTTATTTCTGCTAGCTAATTTTTCTTAAGCCTTATAATATACTGCAAAAAAGTGAACTAATTTCCAGTATCTTGTGTAGTGATATCCGATCAACAGTACAGCACAAGAACCTGATGAAGCATATAGACATTGACCATTGAAACCGATGAACAAATTTATCAACAACTTCACTTGCTGGTATGGTAAAAGCATAAAAAGAAACATTACAGTTTTAGCACTAATACTTACCACTACAGAATATTAAAAAAGTCCCCCAGTTAAATAAAATCCTCAGGCTAGCAGAGTTGTTTTCAGTAAGATCCTCAATCTTTCCTTCACATACAACACTTGTCTTTATGCAACCAATACATGCAGTGATTGTTTAAATGTTTCCTCAGTTCATTTTAAAAACTTATGGACGTAAAACTTTCCTGAAACACTTCTGGAATGAAGTTACATACATAGGCCTAAAGGACATTAAATCTAAAGACACAACCTTGGGCAAAATAAATGGAGGAAATATCACTTAAAAATAAAATCCTGAAGATATGCATTCAGTGATGTACATTCATAAACATTCTTGAATCAAATATAAAAAAGTGCAGCATAATGAGCTGAAGTGAATATTCTTGATTAGATTCTAGAGAGTTGTGTGACTAGAGTACTCTTTCAGAACATGAAAGGATATATGCTAGTTTGTGTGCATGAAATTGAAACATGTTTCATAGCAGCTGGCCTATAGAAACTTTCCATTTCTCCATCTAACAACTGAGGTCAGCACACAACAGTCTGTTTGGTGATTGGTTGTTTGTTTAGCAATTCACAGCCTGTAAAAACAATATCCATCAACATTAATTTAACACAGTAGTAATGTGAGCTACTGTCATGCCTAATGCATACAAGACTGCTTACTGAACTATATAATAAATTCACTGATATTCTTGGCCAATCACTTTTATTATACATAGTCTTTAATGTTCCTTACTCAGATGTCCCAAAATCTTGATTTTGGTGTGTGATATTAAAATCTGACAAGTGTAAATTCAGTAATAACCTGTGAAGCAGAATAAAGGTAAACCTCGATTTACGCCGGGGATGCGTCCCTGGACGAATCTGCTCCACAAAAGCTACATATCCTGTCTAACACATCCTCCTTGATTTCATTATCAAATCAACATTGTCAATAATACAAATTATGAAGATCTTCATATGCAGTTTTTCCAGTGTCTTGTTACTTAATTTCTTCGATCCAAATATTCTTTCCAGCTGTCTGTTCTAAAACATTCTTCCCTTAGCCAGGCAGACAGATTTTCATGCCCATATGAAACAATATGTAAAAGTATAGTTTTGTATATTTTATCCTAGTTTAAACTGTTTTAACTTCTTTGTGAATGTAATTTTGAGTTTTCATTGCAGTTCCAGAATATTTCAAGTTCACCATGTTTCCCATATATCACCTCTACACTAATTTCATTACAGGAAAATAATCATCTTTGTTATCCTGAAAGTGAAGAAGTATGTTCCTATGAAACACTGGTAACTGTTAACAAGACAAAATGGTCTCACAACTCAGAAGACAGCAGAATAAATTATAATGAAAATTTTGATTCCATGGATGGCTGGAAATTTTATCAGTTGAGTAACTGTTACCTTCAAAAAAACTCTGCTCCATATAGTGAGTTAGCTGATAATATGTTTTCTTCTATATTATTACGAGACTATCAGAAGAGAATTGTAGGTCAAACTTTCTTACCTGCACCATTCATTCATTCATTTTCAACATTATATTGAATAGAACAGGTTTGGTGGATCTATGATATGTCAAAAAATACCCAGCAGAATTCACTTGAGCCTTTGTGTTACATTAGCAAGTGCCACTGCAAATGCTTGCAATGCTGAGAATGGATACTGGAAGTCTAATGTGTAAGCATTACCATCTATACGCCCGAACTGCATCACCTGTAAAGTATATTAATTGTTCTAACACAAAGTAATATCTTTCTTTTAATTCAAGCAAGTCATCAACTTAGCTATAAAACTTATTTATCAGTCTGTAACTACCTCTCCTGGATTATTTTATATGTATCTAATGCATTACAGTAACATTTCTGAAAGCTGCATACATTTATCAGAAGGTAAATTATACCTGTTTCCCTCTGAATTCAATCTGGAAGTTCTTGGCTGACTCTTGGGTAACTCGACCACCAAAGTCAAGTTGATACACCTGGCTGTTCTCATTCCACATGGGTGCCTTATTGTGCATCACAAACTCCCTCTGACGAGGGCTCTGTGGACTGGGACTACCATCAGGAAAGTCTCCTTTGCATTTCCCACGTTTCAACTGCAACAATTTGTAAGAGAGTGTAACATTCAGTTTATGCAGCAAAGTATATGGTGCTGAAATGTGGATTGTGGCACCACAATCCAGAAGAGATATATTTAAATAAAATATATAGTATTACATTTCAGTTATTCTTTTATCTACTTGCAGTTTTATGCCAGGATCATGATGAGTTATGATGCGTGAGGAAGCAAATATTGTGATATTTTATGAAGACTTTATACAGAAAGATGACTGTCTTCTGGGTTACTACACTGTGTAGTCTGGTAGAAGTTTCCTGACATTTCAGGGGCACTTGCTGCCTCCATTAATTTTTGTATTAAAGTAACTGCTTGCATATGTTTATTGGAACAAATAACAGAGGTGAAAAAACCTGACTTAATAGGGTCTAGTTGATGGCAAGAAACAGAACCATACTTAATCAAGAGTTGGATAACTCTTACCTTATCCTGAGCCAATTAAACCCATTTTTAAGATAAATTTAATGTTATCTTCCCATTTACACCTATGTCTCCCAAATGGTCTCTCTTAAAATTTTCTATCTAAAATTTTGAATGAATTTCTCATATCAACTATGCATGCTATATAAATACTAACTCCACACACACACACAAATCACAACAGACTTTAAAGTTATGTAGAACATTTCTAACATTATATCACTGAAACTAATACTGAGTGAAGTTAAAATACCTTCTGTCTGAGCTGAGCTTTCTGGAAGCTCTCTAGATCACGATAATTCTTTCCATTGAACACCTCATCGCCTGACTGTACTACCTCATCATCTGAGCTTTCTGTTGTTTTACTCTTACGGTGCCGCCTTGATAATAGAGGTGAATTGAGCAGATGCTTTCTGTAACAATAATTCAATTTATAAAATAATACAAGTCATATTTCATTATTATACCTCTTAAATTATATCAGAATTTTTAAATTTGTAAGATACAAGTCCTCTTGAATTCCAATACATACATTAACCCTATACAACACAGGTCTTAAAAATGTTCTTCATTCAATAGTACCTTTAACATTAATACAGTGTGAAAAAAGGACTGAGTATTTATCATTTAATAATTTATAATTGTATACATTAAATATTAGTCACTATCAAGTAACTGTGTTAAAATTTATTAACTTAAATCCTCCATTCTCATGCACAAGAATTATCAATGTTTCGTATTCATTCACTGCTTTCTATGGAATACTAAACCTTATGGTTCAAACTCATGTCATACAAGCTGCTAAAAGTGGACAGAAATTCTATATTTGAAGGTATAAAACAATTAATTTTTAATTGTTTACTTTCATACATGCAGTTTGAAGAAAAATTATGGAATTGCAAAATAACATTTTTTCATTAAATTTGTACAATCCATGACTCTAAAGAACATTTTCCAAAAATTAAAATAATTTTCAGATATTCTGATATTTGGCTTTATTGCCAATGTCTGAAGTACTAACCTAATAGGTGACGAAGACTGATTACGCTTGCTACATTTCTTGCTAGGAGCTGGGCTGGCTGGGCTACTACGAGGGAGACGTGGTGAAGCACAAGGAGTAGGAGGAGGCAGAGACCTTGACTCCTCAAGCAACTCTCTGCACTTCATCCTTGCTGTGAGACTGTCAAAAGTTGGTAGAACATCTGCACCATGACAATGTGAAGAACTTGCTTCCCTAACTGCTAGCTTTTCACACAGCAATGCCCCACACTTTCCATCCAAACTGTTTCCTCCAACTGAAGGTGCAAAGACTGGTGTTTTGGTTGTTTTGTACAATGATACAGAAGTGACTGGGGAAGGCTTTGTTGTTGCTGCTGTGTGAACACTTTCTTGGGAATTTGAGGATGCAGACAACACAGCAACCATTGGTATTTGGTTCTGATGCTGATTTCTTTCATGGGGTATTTCTGTGGGAATCTTTTCCTTTGTGGATGGAATCTGGTTGGCAGAATTGTTTGTGGGGAAGATTTCACTGGAATCCAGACTTCTGCTCTTTCCACAATGCTTCAATGTCAGTGGTCTGGCTGTACTGGACACAGTTCTACTGTTACTCATGTCCTGAGTATGTTGGCCTTTATTCTTATGTCTTCTGTGTTTGTTCTTTCTATTGACCAATACCAGGCGTTTTGGTGCCTCTTTTCGAAGCATTAATAATGCCACATCACTAGGGACAAGCTGTGCATCCACCAGATCCAGAAATCCGACACTACAGCTTCGAACCATGGAGTCTGTCAAGTAAGCAGGTGGACACGGTGCTACTGGGATGAGAGTAGGTGTTCGCTTTCCACGTGCTCTGTCTGGAGTAGGCAGGTCATTAGACGTAGATCCTCCATCTTCATCAATGTAAAGAAGTTCTTCTGGTTTTCCCATGCACCATTTTGAGCCTGAAATCCCAGTTTGATTTCCACTAGGACTTGATTTGTTTGAACAATATTTCTCCTTTCTTTTCCCCACAATGACTGCATTATTGTTACTATTCATGGGTTTCACAGGAGAGGAGGATGCACCATGTACATTAGAGTTAGTTGTTCCTGTTGCGTCCTCACTTGAGCTACAATTATAAATTTGATGCAGCTTCTTGTTATTGTTATTGCTATTGTTAAAGCTATTTCCTTCGTTATCAATCCTTTTCATAACTACAGGCCTGAGATCTATATTATTCTGTTCTATTGTACACAAATTTAGATTGAGGTTCAAAGCAACCACATTTTGATTCTGACTGTGCTGTTCTGCTAGTACAGACTTCATCCGTTGGATGTTACCTGTATGATCGCTAGATGTAGCGGCAGTCATCATAGTCTGTGAAGATGGGTTTCGGTCAATAAGAACTTCACTCGGAGCAACCGCATTTTTTGGTGACTGAAGTGTTGGAACAGCTCCTTCACACATAAGTGGAGAAATGTGGCGAGTTGTTTGAGTGCCTGTTCCCCCCACACAACCTGCAGTTGAAACATTACACCTCCCCATGTACTGTGTTACACCACCCATCACATTGTTGTATGTCCCACTTCCATTACTATTCCCCCCACTTCCCCCAACACTGTACACCATATTGTTTGATGCTGACAACACTTGGGAGTTTGTGCAACTATCTGTGTAGTTTTTCACAGCAGTATTTGAGGAGCCAGGGGCAGCATTAGCACGTAGTGACTCACAATAATGCACCATATCTGTTAGTTCCACATATGGGAACTCATCTTCATAAGACTCTGTCTTTGCCAGTGCAGGAACCAAAGTACCATTCACAACCATGCTAGTTTCTGTGATATGGTGGTTTTCAGTGGCAGTGATGTATTGTGGGGGAGGGATCTGTGAGGATTTTGGGCGTGGTTGTGCAGCAAATCTTCCTGTTGTGGATCCAGGGACTGAGTGATGAGGTCTTGGAGTCATGGGAGCAATGGGTGGGGCAATGTCTGCTTGCATTCTACCACAACCATGCTCTTCTTGTTGAAAAACTTCCTCTTCATCTTCTGAGAAAAGATTAGGGTTGAAGTTGGGGTCTGGGCCTGGTGGAAAATCATCTCGAAGTTCAGTCATCACCAGTGTCATTTGGCGGGGCTGGAGGTGGAGGAGGGATGTTTTGTACGTCACCTGGCCCAGATTGGCTGGAACGGATGAAGCCAGGCCATGAATCTTGAACTTTGTGCCCCATATGTTGGACGTGACCTCAACAAGTCGAATGTGCTGTAAAAGAGGTTAGAAATGAGAATAGATGAAAAGAAGTAAATAAACACTTTTAATTTGTTAATTACCCTTCAAATTTATCTATGTAGTGTTAGTGTTTATGAGTTACAGATTGGAAAGAGCATGAAATTCTTGTTTTAAAGTTTTATTCCAGGGAGTGGGAAGACCACAGGAGACTGGTAATAAGTACTAATACAGTTAATACTCATTTAAATGAGAATTCCTTTTAGGTTAGAATTAAGTGTAGAAAACGTTTTTGAACTTCATTCTTGACATTCAGGGGATGCTTCCCCACCTGAACTAGCCAGACCCTTTGCAGTAATAGACAATAGAAGGTATATTCTTTGCATAAATATGGTATGAAATTCATCTGCAGCATTTTGTTCAAATTTTCTTTGCTTCTCTAGTACCATGTCTAGTTGGTTGACAGAATTATGTCTTGTGAAGCAATCTTCTATGTGAAGAATAAATTTCTCTTCTAAACACCATAATGCTAAGAAATATTAAACAACTTTAGCTTCTTTTTAGACATCCTTTTCAATTCTTATTGTTCAACATATTGATATACTGACATAAATGTTTTCTTTGCCATAACTTTTAACATTTGAACTTTTAACAGAATCATGTTGCTGGCATCTACCAAGAAATAAATTAACTATATGATTTCAAAGACAGGTGCAAAAAACAGTTTCTTGCACTCCTGCTCAAAAATGCACTATCCACAGAAGCAGGAATCTGTCTTGCTTCTGTGAATGTTGTAACTTGTCAGACCGTTGAAGAACATCTGTGCAATCTCTTAAATCATGCACAAGAAGAATGAACTGTTAAGGTATGACATATACAGTCTTCCTATAAAGCCACCAGAAGAAATAGAAGAAATTTGTTAATACACATCTCAAAATGTAAATTGCTAAGTATAACTCACTTCTGGCAATGTGTCAATGTAAGCAAGGTCATCCTGGTCCCCATCGGCAGCTGTGCCCATGCTCCGATCAGCTCCCCCATTGTGTGACTTGTTGCGCCTTCGTTTGCGTCTCTGTACCCTGGGACTGCCACAACCATCTTCACGTTCCGTATCAGATGTGTCACTTGCAGCATTCTGAGATGAGCCACTGCTCTTTGCCGAATCAGTGGAATCAACTGCCAAAGCTAATTCTGGAGGGCAGAATGCAGCACTTTCTTTTAAAATATGTCCTTCCTTTACAAGTGATAAAACTGATCAGGTATGAACTGAAAATCTTGATGGTGACTTTTGGTTGCTATCCAATTTTTACTTAATGTACATCATCTCATTTATAAATTTCACAGTGTGGATTACTTCTGACATCAGTGTATGGGGGATCTTATCCCTGGAAAATGGTCCTTCCTTCTTTCATTATTTATTTTTCCGAAGTACAGTAATTTTTTTATTGAACTTCTGACTGAGATATTGGTTGCTGTATGCCAATATTGTACAAGAATTCTTCTTGGGCTACAAGCTGTATCAGGTGGTTTCTCAAAACTTTGGTGTTTTCTCCATTAAACCACCTGACATGGCTGGTAGCCTGAGAAGAATTCATCATACTTAGTCACCACGAAAGCTTCGGATCATACATTGTACAAGAATTAACATAAAAGAGCTCCATCTGGGTTAGTAGACAGCCCCCCCCCCAACCAAGTCACTGATAATATTAGATCAGATTATTCTAACTTACATTGCCATTTTAAAACCTTGTTACTTTTAAATATTTTGGGAAATTACATTTACAAACTCACCTCCATAATGCCAAGATCAAAAAAGAGTTGGACAATTTTATCTTATGAATTTACAAAGTGGGTAAGAGTAGATTAAATTTGGGGAATACGTGTAACTGTTCGTTTAAGAAACTTCTGTTAACTTCAGTATCATTGGTAACCAATTACTTTTAATAAAAATTAGGAATTACTAACCAAACCAATAAAAAATAAACAAAAAAAGGGAATAATCTCGTGATAATTTGGATTTTTACACAATAACAATTGAAACTTTCAATTTCTAATATTGACAGCTTCCAGTCTCATATCTACAAACCTAAAAATTCAAATACATAAAACTATGACTATACCAGTTGTTTCATAGAGATGTGAAACTTGGTTTCTTACTCTAAGAGAAAATGGAGGAGATTTGACCAGATGAGCAATTTTCAGCTTCTTTAAAAGACTCTGCTCCACAGAGTTAATTAACTAATTCCCTTTACTGTAATATCTTACAAAAACACATTTAGGGGAACATACTTACCATCAAGCTGTGGATCAAAGATGACAAACTCTGGTCGAATCTTACTCGTACGCTTGCCCTTGAGAAGAGGAACAAGTCCACCAAGATATTCAAGGTAAAGTGTGTAGCATGTGCCTGAGCTCAGGTTGGAATCATCATCGTGTCTGATCATGGTGCAGTGAAGCCGCACACTACCTGCAGGTGGCCGTGACACAAACTCACGTAGCGCAGATGAGTCAGGAACACAGCACTGCAAGAAGGCATTCTAATATTACCGTCCTATTGTTCAACATGTACTGGTACTATGCAAGTTTCAATTATGATATATAAAAGAGAATTTTAGGAAAAAAAAAAAACTTCCTGTGGATAATTCATACTTACCCTAATGGTTTGAGCAAACAAATTGGAGATAAGGGCCTTGATCCGAGGAGGGAGGGGCAGGGCAGCAACTTGACTTTCACCACCTCTTAGTTGTGAATGAATGCACAAGCGACACATGAGCTGCAGTGAAGCCACTCGTCGTGACACCCAAGCTATGTGCACCTGACACCCCGTTGCAATAAACAGCCGTTTATCGTTGTGGCCCCATGTCAGTGCTGTGACTGGAGACTGGAATGTAAGGGTGTACATTACAGCAAAGGGTAATCTTATTTCTGTTAAATGTCTTTGTTACTGACCACAAATAAAAAAAATACAGATAAGCAGATTTTGCTGAAATTTAAAGCTCAAACTTTTTAGGAAAACTGCTGATGTACTTACTTTATTTCAGACTCATAGCAGTAAAGAACATCTTTCCAGACAAATTTACTAGAACTTGTTAACTTAGTTACTTTTTATAATTTCCAAATTTTTCTAGAATGATAACTGCATTTGAGAGACTGGGAAAAGTTCCTGAAGTAAAATAATTCTGAATGTTGTAATGGCATACAACATTTGAAAAAAGTAGCTAAAAGTATGTATTTGTATACACAAAATGAACAATTATATCACTCATCACATCTTTCCTTGATGATAGAGGCAGAGACAGTCTGTGAAACATTATAAATATTTCCATACTGGCATAGCTGTTTGCCTAAGAAGACTTCATTGCATTGTTGCATGAAGTCTGAAGTTTGTTTTTCTGCAGGCTCCATTTCAATACAACCAGCACTTTATGAAGAAAAATATTTATGACTAGATATTTAGTAGGACAGGTCTATTTTATGATAAACAAAATATGTAATGTAATAGTCAGTCTTTTAATTTTGGTAAGATGATTACTGACATTGGATTTTATTTCTCTGCTTGATAAATGGGTGTCAGACTTCATGTATCACCACAGTTTGAACTAATAATATCAGATACACTTCAAATTTTATAAATATGATGTTTTAAATATTAGAAGATGGCATATGTTTAAAGTACATATATTTAACCATGCCATTTTGCATATTATATAATAATTTTTAAGTAGATATGCCAATTTTATTAAGACAAATATATACAAAATGCAACATGGTGAAAGGTACAATGAAATCATGGGATTTAACATGTTGACCCTCAGTAATTTATCTAACACACACTTGACTTCCATTAGAACACTTTAGTATAAACATCAACAGTCTCTCAACATCATCAATCCTGAGACTGTCAGGAGAGTTTCTGCATTGTGTAGGGCAGTGCAGCTAGGACTGGGTCAATTGATGGGCATCCACTAAAAGTTGAAATTTGAAACTCCCAGCTTTGAAGCAGACAATTTTATAACAATCATTACTATTATAACCTCAGTA